AGGTGTGCTAAGGTACAACAACCAAATCCCTCATTGCAGAGCCCCGTTATGGAGCTGGGGTGGCTCGGGGTTGCTGTGGCTGCGGGGTTTGGTTGCAGGAGGTTCGAGCTCTGATTTGAGCACGCTTCCGTTGCCATTGCCGCTGCTAGCATGGCCGTTGCTGTCACCGTTGCCAGAACGGGACCAACGGAACCCACGTGTGGCGATGCCAGTTGCTTTCGCCTTGCTCGGGGAAGTGCTTTGCGGGGTCGCCGACACCTCGTGCATGGACGCAGACCGCTGATGGCCATGCGCAGGGGAGGCTCCGCCACCACCGTTCTGCACGGCACTGCTGTTGGTGGATGCGCTGCTGGGATGGAGAAGGGCAGCAGCACTGTTTCCCATCGACTTGACCAGGTTGAGGCCCGGCTTGCTGGCTTGGCCGCCAGAGCCCTTTCGGATTTTCGAGCCAGCAATGCTATTTTCCAGCACCAATGCGTCATAAATGGCGATGGCCTTGATGAGCAGCTCGTTGCTTTGCAGCAGAGACGCTGGGGTCGAGAAGGACACAAAAGTGAGTGCAAATACCGAAAATAAAAAAGCAACACCAACATGCACGCAAAAACAAAACAAAACAAAAAAAAAAAAAAAAAATTACAGCGATGCGACTCGTCTTGAATCTGCTGGATTGTCGCAAGGAGCTGCGGCTGGCCGGAAAGCTTCAGAAAACGCACAGTTTCCAAAATTTCAGTGTTGGAGAGCAGCTTTTTGACGGAGGGCGCCAGCACGGTCTCGGCGTCGAACGTGGAAGGTAGCGCATTGAGAGCCGCGAGAAGTTGAGATGGAGTTCGCGGGAGATGCTGTTGCGGGTGTTGCTGGTGCGCCGAAGGCGGTGGGGAAACGGACTTTAGGCCACCCTTGGAAGGCGAGTGGACTTGCAGAGTGCCGTTGGCCGCCGTCGGACCGGAGCCTGCGTGCAATGCGCGCGGTTGGTGCGGCGTGGACTGATTGTTGCCAGCAGCAGATGCCGAGCTCGCAGCGCTTGTGGAAGTGCTCAGGTGAGCCAAGGTTTGCGCCAAGCTCTCGCCCAGGGTCAGGATTTTCGCCTTGATGGTGACAATCTCCTGCTTTCCAACTGGCTCCCCGGGTCGATGCAGCGATTGACCGGATTGCAGCCTCCCCGCTGGAAGCTCGTGTGGCTTTCCGGGGCTTGGGTGTTGGTTCTATCGAGCCAACAGCAAACCATTCCAAACGCAATGAGACATCCACACTCGATCGAATTCACCACACACCCACCCACCCACACACACACACACACACACACACAAACAGGCATCACAACTTGTCAACGTACAGCCGAGGCTGGCGGAATGGGCGAGACGGGCCGGCCGGTGGGCTTTCCCACGCTAAGCGTCGCAGAGTCGTTCTTGCTGATCTGGTTGCTCACAGATTGAAGGACGCTTGGAGCGGAGGTCAAGCTGGGAGCCATGGTTGCAGCACTATTGTCGTAGGCAGTGGGCTTGTTGTAAATAACGGGAGGACGCTCGACCATCTCGGTGGCGTTGCGGGAGCAGAATTGTTGAATCTGATTCACCATGTGCTCGACATCCGACGCGCTCGGGTCGGGGATGGCAGAGTGCGGAGGGTTGCCCACGATTGGCTTTGCCATGTCGAAAAAGAGCTGAATGACGCTGCGGTTGAGGCGCATGGCAACCGACAGCGCAATCAGACCACCCTGACCCAGATCGTTGTGGCGAATGTCGAGCACGGCCAGGTGCTTGTTCTCGGCCAAGGCGCCAGCCAGCGCAACCGCAGACTCGGACTGCATGCCGGTCGAAGCGAGGATGAGTTCGCGCAGGTACTTGTTGGAAATGAGGGCCTTGCAGAGCGTTTCCATGCCGTCCGCGTTGCCCAGGGCATTGTAGCCGAGGTTGATGGCCTCGAGTGGCGAGTTTTTCGTCAACACTTGAGCGAGCGCAGTCAATCCAGGAAGCTGGATGGAGCAGCCCCACAGTTCCATCTTTTGTAGCGTCCGATTCACCGAGAGCGAATCGGCAATAAACTCGGCGCCGTGGTCTTGAATCGGGTTGCCGCCCAGACGCAAGCAGAGCAGCGTGTCGTTCTTCTGGACCATGTGTGCCACAACCTTGGCACCTTTCGGGCCAATGCCGTTGCTTTGCAAATCCAGCAACCGCACCGTGTGGTTGCGACGCACACCTTCGCAGATGGCCTCGAGGGAAACAGAGTTTTTCAGCCCGCAGTTTTGCAAAACAAGCGACTCGAGACCAATGCACGTCAAAAGCGACACACCGAGCGAGTTGGCGCACTTTGCGTCGATCGAGATGGCAGACAGATTCAAATGCTTGAGCTGGGCGCCCCGACGAAGCAAAAACCCAACGGCATCAAAGCCAGGCAGCTTGATGGGGTTGTGAGAGAGGTTGAGCGACTCGAGGGAGCGCTTGAGCAGCAGCGACTTGACCAATGGCTGCATAATCTCGTCCCGCAAGTTCACACCTTCAAACGAGATTGACTTGATGTCTCCTGCGCGGAACAGGAGCTCGCCAATGGCGCCCCAGTTGGACGTGGGGATTTTGGTGAGCCCTGTAAAGTTGAGCTCCATGACGGGAAGATCGAGCGCGCTGGCCTGCTGCAGCTGCCACACGAGCACATTCAATGGCTTGGTGTTGAGACGGGTGCAAGCGGCCATGTACACTTGCAGCAACTCGCCGGCCGCAAACCACTTGCGCGCGGGTGGGCCCACACGGCGGTTTCTCGGAGGCGGTTTGCGAGCCGTCGTCTTGTCCTCGTGGTCGGCCGGGAGTGTAAAGACGACGCGGCGCGAGTGCGACGCAACGCGTTTGGGGTACTGAGTGATGTGCGGCTCTGGGGCAAACACGTAGCCTGGCCGTATTGGGGGCGGCGCGGGCTGGGTCGTGACTTTGAGAATCGATGCAGGGGCTGGCGCACGCAACCGCGGCTCGTGCGCGGGAACGTAGCCGTCGTCGTCCGAATACTCGTCGGAATCCCCGTCCGAGGACGAATCAGAATTGGACACGTCGCTACTCGATGACATGTCGGGCGAGTCGCTCCGAGTCGCTGCGGTCAAGTGCACAGGGACGGCCGACGCGACCAGAACGGGCGTGTCTATTGGTTGTTGTTGTTGTTGCTGCTGCTGCTGCTGCTGCTTTTGAGCGTCGATGCTAGCGTTGTGACTGCTGTCAGCGGGGTCAAGGGTGCTCATGCCTCCGACGATGATGGCACTCAACGGAGAAGTGGTGACGGAGCCTCGTAGGCATGCTCGAAAGCAGTCGCCTTGTTT